CTTCTCGGGGGCGTCCATGCGGGCGGCGTCCATGCGGGGGCCACGAGTCACGGCCAGAGACAGGTGCGCGGCCCAAGGGGGGTGACCAGGGGACGCACTGAAAAAGCAAGAGGAGGCCATGAGATCCGGACAGACATCGTGGCCCCAGCCACGAGATTCACCCCCCTGGTCATCACCCCCCTCCTGGCCGCCCCCGCGCTTCCTGGCACTCGTTACCCAGTCCCCTCGCGGAGGAGGCTGCCTCCAGGACAAACCACGCAGGCCCGCGCCCTCCGAGCCCCTGCCAACAAGGAGGGCGCCGCCTGGGGCTCTCGGTGCCCCTGGAGGCACCCAGAGACCTCCGCGGGGCCCCGCGGGGACGCCCCGGCCGTGCCGTGCCGTGACGACTTGCGAGTCAGCTTCTGGCACCGCGTGGATCGCTCAGCCCTGATCGGCCGCGGCTTCCCGATAGCGCCGATCGCTTGATACTCGGGTCGGGCAAAAGGGGGGGATAGCAAAGGGGGGATTTGAGAATCAGCTCACGTAGCTGACTTTCCTGGCGCCTCCCAGCGCCGGAGGCGACTATGTATCGAGGAATGGGCCCCTCGGTGGGGCCGAAACCAGCTGCATGCAGCAAACTTCGTAACCCCCCCCTTTCCCAATCCCCCCCTTTCGTCCGGCCCGAGATGCGTACGCACTGGCCGGTCCCGGGCCACTGGCGACTTTCAACCATGACCCCGCCCAGGCTGCCGTCGCCGCCGCGCCAGCACGACACGAAACAACCGGAGGCCCCGTCGGCACACAAATTATCCCGGCAAAGCAACCTAACAGCGATGTGTAGGAGCATATCTGGAAGCATTCCCCTTAAGATTCAGATGAGAATCCAGTTGTAGAATTCTGCTGTTCTCGCAGTCGTAGTCGCATTCGCGATGACAGTCGCAGTGGCAACGGCAGTCGCAGTCACAGCCTCAGCCTCAGCCTGCCTCAGCCTCAGCCTCAGCCTGCCTCAGCCTCAGCCTGCCTCAGCCTCAGCCTCAGCCTGCTTCAGCCTCAGCCTCAGTCTGCCTTCAGCCTCGGCCTCAGCCTCAGCCTGCCTCAGCCTCAGCCTGCATCAGCCTCAGCCTCAGCCTCAGCCTGCCTCAGCATCAGCCTGCCTCAGCCTCAGCCTCAGCCTGCCTCAGCCTCAGCCTCAGCCTGCTTCAGCCTCAGCCTCAGTCTGCCTTCAGCCTCGGCCTCAGCCTCAGCCTGCCTCAGCCTCAGCCTGCATCAGCCTCAGCCTCAGCCTCAGCCTGCCTCAGCATCAGCCTGCCTCAGCCTCAGCCTCAGCCTGCCTCAGCCTCAGCCTCAGCCTCAGCCTGCTTCAGCCTCAGCCTCAGTCTGCCTTCAGCCTCGGCCTCAGCCTCAGCCTGCCTCAGCCTCAGCCTGCATCAGCCTCAGCCTCAGCCTCAGCCTGCCTCAGCATCAGCCTGCCTCAGCCTCAGCCTCAGCCTCCTCAGCCTCAGCCTGCTTCAGCCTCAGCCTCAGTCTGCCTTCAGCCTCGGCCTCAGCCTCAGCCTGCCTCAGCCTCAGCCTGCATCAGCCTCAGCCTCAGCCTCAGCCTGCCTCAGCCTCAGCCTGCATCAGCCTCAGCCTCAGCCTCAGCCTCAGCCTGCCTCAGCCTCAGCCTGCCTCAGCCTCAGCCTCAGCCTGCCTCAGCCTCAGCCTCAGCCTGCTTCAGCCTCAGCCTCAGTCTGCCTTCAGCCTCGGCCTCAGCCTCAGCCTGCCTCAGCCTCACCCTGCATCAGCCTCAGCCTCAGCCTCAGCCTGCCTCAGCATCAGCCTGCCTCAGCCTCAGCCTCAGCCTGCCTCAGCCTCAGCCTCAGCCTGCTCAGCCTCAGCCTCAGTCTGCCTTCAGCCTCGGCCTCAGCCTCAGCCTGCCTCAGCCTCAGCCTGCATCAGCCTCAGCCTCAGCCTCAGCCTGCCTCAGCATCAGCCTGCCTCAGCCTCAGCCTCAGCCTGCCTCAGCCTCAGCCTCAGCCTGCTTCAGCCTCAGCCTCAGTCTGCCTTCAGCCTCGGCCTCAGCCTCAGCCTGCCTCAGCCTCAGCCTGCATCAGCCTCAGCCTCAGCCTCAGCCTGCCTCAGCATCAGCCTGCCTAGCCTCAGCCTCAGCCTGCCTCAGCCTCAGCCTCAGCCTGCTTCAGCCTCAGCATCAGTCTGCCTTCAGCCTCAGCCTCAGCCTCAGCCTGCCTCAGCCTCAGCCTGCCTCAGCCTCAGCCTCTGCATCAGCCTCAGCCTCAGCCTGCTTCAGCCTCAGCCTCAGTCTGCCTTCAGCCTCGGCCTGAGTCCTGGGAACTCGAAGACCACGAAGTGGCCTACAATTGTCTCCGGGCATTCAAAATCATGCCCAGGAATAGAGTTCTGGGAACTCGAAGACCACGAAGTGGCCTACAGTTGGCTCCGGGCATTCAAAATCATGCCCAGGAATGGAGTTCTGGGAACTCGAAGAACACGAAGTGGCCTACAGTTGGCTGCGGGCATTCAAAATCATGCCAGGGAATGGAGTTCTGGGAGCTCGAAGACCACAAAGTGCGTTACTGTTTGCTAAAAAGGAGTCCCCGGTTTTCCCAGGCACCCGTCCAGCATCTGCCCAGACCCACCTGGGGAGTCTGATGCTCTCTTTTGAGACCACTAGAAACCTATCAGTCTTCGCTGTTGGGTAAAAACCTGCCTGCGGCACGAACCGCCGCGTCGCCACGACACCACGCGTGCCTCCAGGCTCTGTGGAAACGTCGAGTCGGCGCTGGCGGGGTCGCCACCTCCTCGAGGAAACGAGCCCCCCGTAGACCACCCCAGGACCCCGAGGACTCCCAGAGGCGCCCGAGCATGCTCAGAACCTCCTCGATGCTCGTCACTCGTAACACCCCGTCGTGACGACCCTCCCTCGGCACCGCCCGAAAAAACCCAAGAGGGGCCCGGCGGGGTAGATCGGCGGCGAGCGACAGGGGAAGTGAGAAGGAGGATGCCTTCTCAGAAGGCTCGGAAGTCCCCCCGGCCGTCTGAAAAGTTGTCTGAGCCTTCCGCGAAGACACCAAAAACCTCTCAGAAGGCCTGAGAAACCCCGCCGCCTTACAAGAAGGCCTTCTGCTTCTCATTTCACCCCATCGCTCGGCGCCGACTGGTGAGGACCCTCCCTCGGCACCGCCCGAAAAAACCCAAGATGAACGGCAACGATTGGCGGGGACTGGCATAGGGGGGGACACATCGACCTGGAATCGGCGATACATCGCCGATACGTCGACGATAGGCCCCCGATAGCGGAACCGAACCTTCCTGAGCGTGCTGTCGGGCCCCCATCCGCGATCTCAATGGGCCATTGGGTGTCGATGCATCCCCCCTATGGGGCGACGAAACCTATACACATCCGCTACTCCCTGGCCAGGCCCGTCCTCAACCCAGCAGCGGTATACACGCCACGCCCGCCCGGCTTGGCCAGGAGGGCGCCTACGCAGCTCCTGGGCTCGGGATGGGCGTGGCCAGGGAGCAGTGGGTAGGTGTAGACTTCGTCGCCCCATCCTGTGTCTATCCCTCCCCAACGCTGCCCCTGGCAAGAGGAGCCCGGCGGGGCAGAGGGGCTCGCCGGGAGAGGCCACGGCGCCGCTGGCGCCGCCGCCACCGCCACGGCCACTGGGGGCGCCATTGCGCGGCCGCAGGAGCGCGCGCGGCGGGGCCGCAGGAGCGGGGGGGGGGGGAAGGGAGGGGCGCCAGCCTGACGCGGGACGCACAAGGACATACTAGCACAGTATGTCCGCCTTGGAGGCGCGCGTCCGGACGAGCATGTGTCATAACCATCTTGTAGTATATCGCTTCCTGAGCGGTATGGCCAGGAAGCGCCTAGCACGGAGCTTATACTACAAGATTTCTCGGCGCGCGCGTCACCCCTGGGGGGGGGGCGACGCGCACGTAGTATCATCATGTTGGCGTGGTCACCTAAGCCGCCGACCCTGGCCAGGCTCACCCTTAGGTGGCCACATCCGAAGCCTACCCACCACCGACCATCGGTTCTCCCAAATCGAGGTTCTCCTACCCACCATCCTCCTCCTCCTCCTCCTCCTCCTCCTCCTCCTCCTCCTCCCCTCCTCCTCCTCCTCCTCC